CCACCATATTTGTAATGAAATGAGAATAGAAACAGAATAAAACAAGTTTCGTTAAAATCGGGCCATGAGTTACCAAGTATACCCCCATTTTTCGGGTCACTTTTTTGAAAAATTCTAGATTAATTTAGGTACACTAGATTGCGCCACACATCAGTTTATCTATCTATTCGTTTTTCACCTGATGAATCACATCTTCTATTCAACAATACATGCACAACAGAAATTAAATGATGAGATGAAAATGTGTTATAATGGCATGTAGAAAGAACAACAATAAAATGGACCTTCAATATTATTGACTATTTGCAAGTAACTATGGAAATGAGGTAATAAAATAAAAATCAAGTCAAGAACAACAACAATATTTTATAAATGAAAACCTCTCACCGAGCTTTGGCTATTATATTATTTCCCTGTCAATGTTCTCATCTTCATTAAAAGCCGTAAGATGACAAAAAGAAGATCTTGAAGAAGCTATCTATATACTACTAAAAATCTGAGATTGTTTGTTTGTATGCTTATTTGCTCAGTCAAAAAATCATTCACACTACCGTTCGTGCGCTCTTTACGAAACTTTTTACTTAACTTTTTTGAAAAATGAAATGGTCTTTTCTTTTACTCCCGATCAACAATCAAATATATTTTCTTAAATTATGAATAACATGAATGGATTGAAATATTTAATTAAATTATCTCAGAATAAACCTTCATTTCATTAGCTTGAATTCTTCATAACCTCTGAACAGTGCCTCATTGCACTGCTCAAGAATGCATGTAAATGCTAATTTGCAAATGCATTTTACAGCTCCTGTCAGTAAATGACATGATGCTCACTATTTTTACATGTCACAGGAGAGATTTAGAAAGAAGAGATTGATACAGTCTTATCTTGTTTATTGAATATAATGTTGTGTCAAAGCATGCCCCAAATTTTAGTTTCTTAACAACACAGTAACCTATAGCTTTCAATGATCCTTTTGTTATGCATGCACATAATTCTTTTGTTAATCTGTTGATTGCCCAGTGAACTGATAAGCATGAACTATTTTTTTCTGTTATTGTATAGTTCATTATAAACATTTTATTGAAATTATTAAAGAAAATGTAATGATACTTTAACAATGTGAAAGAATAGATTTGCTAACTGACACTTATAAAATGTATTTCAAAAACTTTAACCATAAACTATTTGTCAAACTACTTTCTGTTTCACTGGAGTGGACATATATATATGTGTTACTTTATTACTTGCTGCATACCTATCCTCTGCATTATTTAAACCTCAAAAAACTTTGGACAGGTTTACAGCACACTTCCATTTTTCTAACACAAAGCACTTGACTCCTCAAATTGATGGTTTACCGGAAAATAAGGAGATATCCTGGATTTAGAAGTGTTATGATGAAATCTTATATTCTCTTTGCCTTAAATATGTTCAAATAAAACTAATGTTTTTACCTTAATGTGTTTTTAGATAAAAGAATAATTCTTTTTCAGATACAAAAAAAACAACGTAAATAAACAAAAATGTTATCCTTCCTGAAAACTATTGAAAACAACTTTACACCTTTTTCAGTTAAAACTAGTAGATGTGAATTGATGATTAATATTAGTAAATAAAACCCAAATATCACAGCATTAAAATGTTTTGCTATAAATTTGAATTTTTAGTATTTACACATGATAAAACTTCACTTTTTTTGAAATAAAAGATTTAATATCATATAAAAACTATATTTCTCCTCAATTGTGGCTTGCAAAAACTTTTACCAAGTCAGTACCTTGGGAAGAAAATGTTTAGAAATGGTTAGAAACTGCCCCATTGGCCTAAATTGTAGATATAGTACTAACTTAGTTGATAACAATTCAGAATAAAGCATGACTCAAAGTAACATAAAGAGAACTTCCACAATTGCATTTTTGGTGCTGTACACAGAATAGAATTATTTATATTTTAAAGCTGGTATTGGATAGTGTTGAATATTATGTATTTTATAGTCGTTTTTTTCATAAAGAAATTGTCATAACAGGATAACTTAATTACTGGTGTAGTACCAACCATGAAGCTAAGCATCAGTCTGTGTAAACAACATTTGGGTCGGATGTTCAAGTCTAAATGGAGAGTTCAAAGTCAAAGACAAGTGATTGATGTTGGAATACCCTCATTGGTGCAAGAGCAGAATGTTCCAATTTTGAATGCTTTAGATGTAGTTAAAGAAATTAAATCAGAAGTTATAGACATGTAAGTATTGATAGCTAATTCTAATTACATTGTGTGGTAAACCAATTTCTATAACATGAAACTGTACCATCTCCACATATACTTAAATGACTGAAATGTCTTGTTATTTGCATTTCCTCATTACATTTACAACACCCATTCTTTCCCTGCTTTTGGTGATTGGAATTATTACAAGTAGAATGTCCCATTTTCATTAATATCTACAAGCAAGATTTTTTAATTTTGTTTCACTGTATTGAAATTGTGTTGCTGAGGCATTCTTTCTCAATTGTATTTTTTTTTATTGTTAACCCTTACTTAATTAAAAATAATTGAAGTTATGGAAAATTTCATGATAACATTCCTCTCAATCTGTTTTTGTAAATTCCATTTACTAATTTCTTCTTATATGCAGGAGTTTTCTGATTGTTTATCATTCCTATTGTGTTTGGAGGTCCTTCAACAAACTGTGGTTTTCAGGTATTCTGACGAATTATGTGTCAGTCTTCCAGCCATTTTTCGTAAGATTGTACATTTGATAGAAGCAAAGAGTTGAGTTTACATTTACTGAATGAAAGCAATTATGATTTCCAAAATTTTCTTCCTAATTCTGAATTTCTTGTATTTAAATTTTATATTTACTACCTCTGAAAGTCATATAATTTTTCTTCTTGACTCAGAGATTTAAACTTTTGTCAATCAATATGCGGTTGTCACATTTTTTCATGGATTGAAATATTACATTCCAACATTCCCAAGGAGTTTAACTTTGCTTGAGAAATTTAATTTTTTTAGTTGGCTTTCCTGATTGGAAATTCATGGTCCATCTGTATTCCTATAGTTATGACCAATGAAATTGAACACATTGCATGGATTAACTAAAAAAACAATTATGGAAATGCAACTGTATGAGGGAATGTAATCTTCCTGACAGCTTTCCCTGTTTTTCCTGGTCCAGGTTTCTACTTCCATGTATTTCTCTTTGTACATCCCACTCTTTTTCCCTTTTTTTTTTTTTCAATTGCAGTGTAAATGTTTTCACACATTGCATGATTAATATTTTTTCCCCTCTTCTGCCTCCGTGGTCAGTAAATAACAAATTTGAACACAGCCATTTCTTTCCTCTTATATACTGAATGACTTCATCTGATAAATGTGTTTGTTTATCTCCTATTGATTTTTCAAGGGCTTTTTATTATCTTTTCACTTATTATTTTTTAATAACATGGCTTCATATCTTTTCAGGATAACTGTTTGAAGACACATTTTGGTATAAGTTTGCTGATATTCGTTGCTTGGTTTATCAAGCTTTGTAAGTTCCTTCTACTTGTTTTGTGGTTCACTCATTTCATTGTTGTGACTGATTTGGTTTTTGGATGACTTTGATTCCTTTTTGTTTTACAAAAGATTGAGAAGAATAACACTTGTTTCTTTCAGTTTAACCCATATTTTTGTTTTGTTTTTATTTAAGTATAAAAATTATAATAATATTTAACATAGATAATGCTGGAAACTTGAAATTTGATCTAACATTTCTGTTGATGTATTGCATTCAATTTCTCTTTTGTTTCAATTATTGGCCTTTAGTATCTTGCTTTACTAACTTCAGCTGTGCATATTGACCCCTAGAGGCAGGAGAGGCACCTATTCTAAATAGTAGTATCTACAGGTTTGCTCCTAGTCTGTCAATTAGTGTTAGTTGATGATGCTCTTTATGTGATGATAATAAGATGTCCAAATACAGTTGCCTTGGAAATGTACTGTTATAGTAAGGTTAATAAATCTTTGTGTTTTTCCTTTTGTAATTTTGTGAAAAATCACCTTGTGCTACGACTAAACTTGATACTTCATAGATTATCTAAGGATTACTTTTGCAGGCTATGTGAATTTTTTCTTGGAACTGCATCCACCATTATAATAGTGACTTATAACTCTTCACAGCCATTATATCTACTTCATTTAGTTCTGATTATGCTGTACCATTAGATTTCCAAACTGAGTTTTTATATCTTATAATGCTGGCATATCTAAGGATATAGTTCTAAATGATGTGCTCAGCTGAATATCACTTTTATAAAAAAAGAAAAATGAAGGTGAATATTTACTTCTGAGTGTTTTAACATACTAAATTTGTACAGTCAAGTAAGTTGCTCTTAATCATATGGATAATGATAGTAGCAACAGAGTAATTTTATGAGGCTTATTTATAGTAGAAGAAACATTAAATAATTTTAGTATAGTTATTCTAAGTTTGATTATATTCCAGTAGTGAAGCAGTACTCACATTACAGCAGAAGAAGTAAACTTTTTGTCATCTTAGCATATAGATACTGTGTTTTAAATACCATGTAAATTAGATTTCTTTTGATTATTTTCTAGAAATAGTCTTCCTGAACCTCTTTGTGAACCACCACGTTTAAGAAAAAATGAAAATCACCCTGACTGGAAGGAAAACTGTGTGTTATTAATTAATCGAAATACAAGATTAATTGAGGGTAAATTTTAGTCTGAACAATATTTAGGATATAGTTTAGGATCTTTACAATATTATATTTTCTTCTGTATAATTTGTTTTTTTTTATTGTAACAAAAAATCCATCAGAGTACTGAGCATTTTAAGAATAAACTCTTAATTAAACAATTTAGTTATAATTACTGATAGCAACTTTTGAAGAATTGATCATTTTTTCAGCTTTATTATTCATTTGTATTTTAATTTTATAGACTAACTAGTACTAAAAGTTAATTAAGAAACAATAATAACTTCCAATCAGAGTAAGCTGTGTACTTAAAGTGAAACTAAAAGTCAACCTGGCAATCAGTATTGTTAATTGAATATACTTTTCTTATGTTTCTACTAATAAAGATTAAAATGCATTGTTACATCATTTTTCTACCTTGTTGTTAATAGCAACCTTGTTGTTAATTGGCTTCTGGAATGGCATTATTATGACTGTAAGACATTTTTTAATGAATGCACTTTTAATTTTAATGAAAAGGATAAAGAAAATGCTAGTTCATTTAATTTATGTTATGAGAAGTTGTGGTGGACTAAAAAATATTTGAAATTTTGTCAGTGGTCATTCTGTACTTATTCTTGTGGAGATTAGCTTCATTTTTCACTGTATGTACAGCTTGTAACATTTAGTATTGAAATGGTTCCCATTTCTTTCTTTGTTTTAATATTCAAGATGTAAAAGCTTTAATTTTTCTGGAGAGAAAGTTGTTTAGGTTTAGTTCTTTATCAAATAATGTAGCTTTAGTGTTTCCACACTTTGAGTTTAAAGAGTTATTCAAGCTGTCATTACAGTATTGTATTATAAACTTGCTAATGATAGGAAACATTATTCTAACAGAGAAAAAATCTGATAAACATTCAGCAAACAGTTTACATTTTTATATCCCTTAGCCTGAATTCTTTGTCATGAATGGCTAATAGTGCATCACGTGGTGCAAAACATTTTAAATGTTACCTTGAAAATCTGGTCAACAAATTGCATCAATGTTACCTGGTTGTCAAAGCTGTTGCCATGCTTGCATAACATCACAGGAGACCTTCGTAGGCAATTATTTTTTGCAGCATAGTGAAAATATGCTGATTCACATAGGCCTAATTTACAAACAGTTTCAGAAATCTTACCAGCATTCTAGGCAGATGTTATGCTGAAGTTCAATAGTTGTGTGTACTTTACACACTTATTGTTATGATCACATGGTAATGGGCTGGTATATTTTTGGAAAATTAGACAATTTCTAAATCTTGTTGATCTACTATTGAATCTTAAAATGAGATGAAAATCTTCAATAAAATGTTAAATGTTAGGATTTATTTGTAGGCTTGGGAAGATAGGCTAAATATACTAGAGGACAGTGCTAATTAATCAAATTTTACTAAAATTGTAAACCAATAGATTGTTTGATGCCCTCATAATCAGTCAGTAATTGTTAATTGTAAGGCAAGAAAAGATGTGGCATGAACTTGATGTCATAAGCATGGTTAGTATCACATCTACAGAAATGTTTCTGTGTGTGCACTAACAAGTGAGCTCAAAGACTAAATTTATTAATAGTAAATGAAGATTCTCATAATATACAGTACGTTAAAAAAAAGCACTGTCCCACTGAATGCAGGACAGAAAAAGTGAACCAGCCACTTGCAGGTGGAACAAGTATATTTGTATGCTTTCTCTTGTGAACTTTCTAATTATTGCTTCATCCAATAACAAACAAAGACATAGAAATAGTTGGTTGTAAGTAGCTTGCTTCAAGTTCAAGGGACAGTTCCCATCACTGTTAGCAAATTCATACTGCCAAGAGCTACTTTGTTTCATATTTGCTTGATATGTGCGAGAATTGTTTGGAGTTTACTAATTGAAGATACACTTTGAACATTTTAACTCTTTCTATACGGGTCACAGGTGAAAGGCCATGTCATTTCGTTTGTTGACTCGCATTCAAAATTTTATTGAAATACTATTTCATGAATTTATGTCAACGTTTGGTATCAAACTGTAGATAATAATTCAAATTTTAGAACTATACGTTACTCAATTTGTTAATTTAAAAGTAAATAATAAAAAACACAGATAAAAATCGATTTTTGTGTGTCACATTGTATGTTGAATGCAGCACTGGTTCAAATTAGATGTTTGTGAAGTCAAAATACTAAGTCTGTAGTTTCATACAAATTAGAAACTCAAATTACAGATATTGACAAGCTAGAATATAAAATAAGAAGTTCATATTTTTTCTATTTGCTAAGATATTGCTCACGTAATAAATAAAACATAGTGGCACCCTGCTCACCTCCTTCCATTTTTAGAAACGCTCCCTTATAAACACTTACTTTTATATATGACATAAATAACCAATCAGAAGCTTAGAATGTCCCCCTACCTGGTTTTCTAAGCCTTTTTAACATACCTAGCATCATTTCTTTCTTTAAATAAAGATTTCAATGAGGTAGGTTGTGTCTTTAGTCTGCTCGAAATTTCATATATTTTTTAAAGTAAAATACATCTTAGTTACTAAGCTTGATAAATTATAGTTGAATTCTATGATATTGATGTAGTAATTTATGATTTTTTTTTTAGTATTA